AAGTTTACCTTGTCTAGACTGAATAATCCCCTCGGGAATACCACGGTGAAGGATTTCAGAGCTTTAAAACTAAAAATATATTGCTCAACTATATTATTTTTGTTATATGCACCCTATTTTATCAACTTTCAGAAACAAAGCAGATCCAAGCTAGTTCAGCACAAAATATAGTGTTCTCAAAGTTTGTTCTCTGGACCAGTAACATAAGCATCATCCACATAATTGTTAGAAATGAAAATTCTCAGATCGCCCCTAGACCCACACAACTGAAACTCTCAAAAATGAAGCCTATAAATGAATATAGGTAGTGCCTGGGAGGCACTACCAGGCAACCTGTATTTTAACAAGCCTTTTAGACAATTCTGATGCCTGCTCAAATCTAACAACCACCACTCAAACTCATGTCCCCTTAAAACAGAAACATTAGGTACCCCTATTTTTGTGTGAGGTCATACTGGCGTCTCTGTTTGTCCCACCAGCCCATCCTGAGTGTGAGATGTTATTCTCTACCTCTCTTAACTAGGGCCCATGACGGAGACTATTAACTGTTCAGGATTCATTCCACCTTTCTCTCTTCTTCTAATACAAGTGGGAAACTACATAGTCAATTTTCTCTTGCTTCCAGATATGGTTCTGCAGATAATTAGTTTGGACCAAGAGTATATGAATGCAAGTGATGCATGTAACCTCCAGATTATAGCTTTAAAAAACAAACGAATCTGGTTGCCTTCCTCTTCTTTTTCCCCTCTTCTCTAACTGGAATGCTAATATCCGGTTAGCATGGATATTACCAGGAATGCTAATATCTGGCTACAAGGATGAGGGCCACATTGCTCTGTGGTGGAGCAGCAGGACAGACATAACCTAGGTCCTTAGACGTTCCTCGATCAGAGCTGCCTCAAGAACCTAACCTACCTTCTTCTGGACTATTATGTGAGAGAGATATAAACACAGTGTGACTTTGTTTGAACTATACTTCTTTTTTTCATAACCTAGCCTGTATCTTCTTTAGAGGGCAGAGCTTCCTTTCTAGAGCTATAATCCTTTTTCCTTTCCTAAGGCTGAGATTTCATGCCTTTGTTCCCATACATCCACCTTTTATATATATTCCCATTCAAAACAGTTGCCACTTTACATAAAGGACTTCTACTTTAACTAATGATGGGCTAGTGAAACTTGGACCAACTTTCCCACTGAGGACCTCTATGAAAGCATGCAATTAATTTTTTAAAATCTACTTAAAGGCACTGAAGAGCTAACAAGGCAGTTAAAATAACTAAGCTAAGAAAGTGGAGAATGGGGAAATCCAAAGAGATGAATTTGGATTTGCTGTTTTCCTGGGTACTAGCCAACCCTAGAAGAGGCAACTGAGAGGCAGAGCAAGATTTTTGAGCCTTGAATGGGCTAGTTCAGTTCGGTTCAGTTCAGTCACTCAGTCGTGTCCGACTCTTTGCGACCCCATGAACCACAGCGTGCCAGGCCTCCCTGTCGATCACCAACTCCCAGAGTTTACTCAAACTCATGTCCATCGAGTCGGTGATGTCATCCAACCATCTCATCCTCTGTCGTCCCCTTCTCCTCTTGCTTCAGCATCAGTCCTTCCAGTGAATATTCAGAACTGATCTCCTTTAGGATGGACTGGTTAGATCTCCTTGCAGTCCAAGGGACTCTCAAGAGTCTTCTCCAACATCACAGTTCAAAAGCATCAATTCTTCGGCGCTCAGCTTTCTTCACAGTCCAACTCTCACATCCATACATGACCACTGGAAAAACCATAGCCTTGACTAGACGGACCTTTGTGGACAAAGTAATGTTTCTGCTTTTTAACAAGCTGTCTAGGTTGCTCATAACTTTCCTGACAAGGAGTAAGCGTCTTTTAATTTCATGGCTGCAATCACCATCTGCAGTGATTTTGGAGCCCAAAAAAATTAAGTCAGCCACTGTTTCCCCATCTATTTGCCATGAAGTGATGGGACCAGATGCCATGATCTTAGTTTTTTGAATGTTGAGCTTTAAGCCAACTTTTTCACTCTCCTTTTTCACTTTCATCAAGAGGCTCTTTAGTTCTTCTTCACTTTCTGCCATAGGGTGGTGTCATCTGCATATCTGAGGTTATTGATATTTCTCCCGGCAATCTTGATTCCAGCTTGAGCTTCCTCCAGTCCAGCATTTCTCATGAAGTTTCTCTGCATATAAGTTAAATAAGCATTTCTCTGCATATAAGTTAAATAAGCAGGGTGACAATATACAGCCTTGACGTACTCCTTTCCTGATTTGCAACCAGTCTGTTGTTCCATGTCCAGTTCTAACTGTTGCTTCCTGACCTGCATACAGGTTTCTCAAGAGGCAGGTCAAGTGGTCTGGTATTCCCATCTCTTTCAGAATTTTCCACAGTTTATTCTGATCCACACAGTCAAAGGCTTTGGCATAGTCAATAAAGCAGAAATAGATGTTTTTCTGGAACTCTCTTGCTTTTTCGATAATCCAGCGAATGTTGGCAATTTGATCTCTGGTTCCTCTGCCTTTTCTAAAACCAGCTTGAACATCTGGAACGGGCTAAGGAAAAGAAAAAAAAAGTGTCCAAGCCCACCAAGTCTGGGAGAGAGGTGCTGGGAATGCCCACACTTGAGGCTGAGACCCTGAAGGCTGCATTCAAACCACAGGGTGAAGTGGAAGCAGAATAATCCTTGTAGAGATGCAATCTAGATTAAAACACAGCGTGTGCTTAGTCACTCAGTCATGTCTGACTCTTTGTGACCCCATGGACTGTAGCCCGCCAGGCTCCTCTGTCCATGGAGATTCTCCAGGCAAGGATACTGGAGTGGGTTGCCATGCCCTCCTCCAGGGGATCTTCCCAGCCCAGGGATTGAACCCTGGTCTCCTGCATTGCAGGCAGATTCTCTACCATCTGAGCCACCAGGGGAGCATTACATCACGGCAATCACTGAAACTGGATTAAGGTGATCCTGGATTACGAGCTTTCCTAGGTTCCTTCCTACAGCAAATGGAATTCCTCTCCAGAAACAGATGACACAATCCTAAACCTCCAAATTAACTCCTACAATATTTTCAAATAACAATGTCTGCATGCGTGCTAAGTCTCTTCAGTCAAGTCCAACTCTTTGCAACCCTATGGACCATAGCCCGCCAGGTTCCTCTGTCCATGGGAGTCTCCAGGCAAGAATACTGTGAGTGGACAGCTATTACCTTCTCCAAGGGATCTTCCTGACTCAGGGATCAAACTAGCTTCTCCCACATTATAGGAAGATTCTTTACCATCTGAGCCACCAGGGAAGTCTGGTACTCAAATGAAAGAAAAAAACAAAAACCAAGTGACAAGATTATAGGAATGACGACAACAAATGAGCAGAAAAAGAGATGACAGAAGCAGACCTAGAGGATTTGAGATATTGGAGCTGTCAAACATAGGCTTAAAAATAACTATGCTTACAATGTTAAAGAAGACAAAAGACTGAAAGTTTCCATTCAAAAATATTAAAATATTAAGGACAGAGATTTTGTAATGTAATATTCTATATTCCATATAATGTCCAATCGAAATTCTAGAATTAGGAAACCATGTGCTGTGCCGAACCCTGATTATGGCGAGAAGCTTTGAAAGACCATCCTCGAGAAAATCCCATGAAATGGGTGCTTCACAAGGAAGCAGAACAAAGACATCTCAGTGATCACTAGTCACCATTACTCATGAAATTAAACCAGGGGAAATGTGACCTTTCATAAAGTTTCCATATAAATCTCATCCCCAGTACAGAAACTCAAGCCATCAGATTTTCCTCTCTGCTCAGCCACGTTCATTTCCTAAACAAACCCCATTTTTTTCTTTTGTCTTGGGAAGCCCAGACCCCATCTGTTTGCAAATTTTCTGGTCTGCATTTGAAATCTAAGCTCCCACAACTTTTCCACTGAGCCATCCAGTGACATTTGGAAGGAGCTTCTGGGTCAGCAAATGGGATGCTGCGACAGACCAGAAGAAGGCCCTCAGCACTGCCCCCAAAGAACTGAGGTTACTTCTTTGCATCTGGAAACAGCAGAACACATTTCTACTCCCTCCCCCTCCATGCCTTTCCCCCCACCTTCTCTCTGCCACCCATACCTGCCTCTCACCCTACTCCCACCGGTGGAGATGGGCTGGGGTGGTGAAAGGGGAGCAGGCGGCTTTCCAGCTGCTCTGAGGCCTCCCATATTGAGCCAGGTTTAGGCACATTTCCCCTCACCTCCTGAGGGAAGGGATACTCCACAGGGGTACAGCTGAGAGGGAAGGGGAATTAGTGCTCCAGGCCACAACTTAGGGACATCATGAAAGTTCCTCACATGATATGGGTATTTATTCACTTATCAAAATAACTCAGGTAATATTGTAAAGACATATTTGTTGCAAATTATCTCCATACAGGTATACATACAGCTAAAATTAAAGGACTTCTTCACTCCTTCCATCCCTCCTTCATTCCCACTCCCTAAAGGAATTTGTTTTTAACATTAAAAAACAAAAAGTCTTTTCCTTCCTGTATGTGTGCGTGCCTGCTAAGTCGCTTCAGTCCTGTCCAGCTCTGTGTGATCCTATGAACTGTAACCTGCCAGGTTCCTCCATTCATGTGATTCTCCAGGCAAGAATACTGGAGTGGATGCCATTTCCTCCTCCAGGAGGATTTTCCTGACCCAGGGATTGAACTGGCGTCTCTTGCGTCTCCTGCACTGGCAGGTGGGTTCTTTACCACTAGCGCCACCCAGGAAGCCCTATGTATGTGTGTACATGTGTTTATCTCTATCTGTACCTGGAGAGCTACCTGCCATCCCTGAGAGGTGTCAAATGCGTGTTTGTTCATTTCCTTAGATAAGTCTCAGCTACTGCACTCTCTAGGCTAGAACAATAAATTGCTTTAAACTCAGTCACCTGTGCCAAATAACATACCTCTCACAAAGGTAGTGACTTTAAAAAACAGAACAGAACACTCACCATTTTACTTCATTTGCAGTTCTGGAGTTCAGCTGTGTGGTTCTGACCTGGGCCCGCTGGTTCATCCCTGTGGTCCAGCCGCCGGGTGGGCTGGGGCACTCATTCACAGTAGCTGGCTGGCTGACCAATGGGTGCAGGACCCTCTGCTGCAACTGCTCCGCCTGGCTCCAAGGGAGGCTAGCATCCGCCGGCAGCTTAACCCAGGCTTCAGCACCTGAGGGCTTCGGCGTTCCCAGCAGCAAAAACAGGTAAGCCTCCCAAAGCGGAAGTGCGTACGTACTTCAGCATATGTCATGGTTGCAAACACTCCATTGGCCACAGCCGATCACATGACCAGAACCAACTTCAAGGAGTGGGGAAATGGACTCTAACCTCTTGAGGGGAGAAGCTCCAACGTTACCATAACAGTGAAGGCAGGGAGGGGAGGAATTTGCAGCCACTTTAGTGTTCAATGGACAAGATTCCCTAAAGGCCTGTGTAAGGCACCTGGGAATTCCTAGGAGTGTGAAACGCTGTGAAACGCTGTGAAACGCTGACCTGGCCAGAACAAGAAGCTAGAATGTCTATGGGAAAGGCACACTCCGATTTCAGATTCTCCGTGCTCAGGATGTTTCGGGGGAGAGTTCCTCTCTCAAAGGCAGAGCCTAAGAGGGAAGGCAGTCAGTGGTTCGGGTCTAAGAGGTGATGGGTAGTGGGGTCCAGGCCGGGGCGGCTATGATAAGAACAGAATGGGTAAGAGCTGTAAGTTTGTGAATCCAAGCAAGGGACACTTAGCAACCAGGGTGTGAATTACCCTCTCTGGAAAACTCAGGGCAGCGGCCTTTGCAGTTGAGATTGTGCCAACCAGGCAGGTAAGGGCTTAAGTGATTAACTTGGGAAAGGCAATGAGTGTGACCACTTTCACACCATTTATGGAGAAGTTTATATTAATGAGACATATCTTAGTTAATGTCTGGTCATTAAAACTTGTCCTGATGTGTTTACTTCATGAAATTTGCTTCTGCTTCTTGGTCACCACCCTGGTACAATCGCTCCCTGGAAACCTTGGCTCTCTTGTTTCCCTCAAGGTGGATATTATGGACTGAATGCTTTCATCCCCTCAAAATTCACATGTTGAAGCCCTGATGCCAAGGGTGACTCTGTGAGGAGATGGGTCCAGCTATGAAATTAGGGTTAAATGAGGTCTTGGAGGGAGGGATTCTGATCTGATAGTATTGCTGCTCTTCCAAGTGGAGACACCAGAGAACTCACTCCACACACCCCCATCCTCACCCCCAAGTGATCACCCACCAAGGCGAGCCCTATGAGGACACAGCAAGAAGGTAGCCAGAAAGAAAATTTGGTGGTCCCTTGGTCATGAATTTCTAGCCTCTAAAACTGTGAGAAAATAAGTTGATGTTGTTTAAGCCACCCTTAAACAGGCTGTAGTATTAGCGGCCATAGCCAATTAAGACAATGAATTTAACCTGGTCCTCCAACTGCTTCCTCCCCTTTGCCAGTTCTTCAGTATTCTCTCATGGTCAGAAGTCTGAAGTGAGTCTTCTGGGGCTAAAGTCACCCTGTTGGCAGGGCTTTGTTGTTGTTTAGTCACTAAGTCACATCCCACGCTTTTGCAACCCCATGGACTGTAGCGTGCCAGGCTCCTCTCTTTGTGGGATTTCCCTGGCAAGAATACTAGAGTGAGTTGCCATTTCCTTCTCCAGGGAATCTTCCTGACCCAGAAATCCAAGCAGAGTCTCCTGTTTGGCAGGCAGATTCTTTACCACTGAGCCACCAGGGGAAGCCCATTGGCAGGGCTAGTTCCTTTCAAAAAAATAAAAGAGGAGGATGTAATGGAGGCCTGAGTGGTAGTTCTCTGTGAGGATGTAACATGTGCCTTAAGACCTCAATGAGAATTCCCTGGTGGTCTAGAAGTTAGGACTCTGCACTTTCACTGCACGGGGAGTGGGTTTGACCCCTGGTCAGGGAACTAAGATCCTGCATGTTGCAGACTGCAGGAGTGCGGCCAAAAAGAGGACTGAGTGAGGAGGAACCAGCCTTGCAAAGAGATGAAGGATGATCCAGAGCTAGAGCCCTAAGGTGGACCTTAGTGTCTTGGTTACCTATTACTGCTACAACAAATTACTACAAAGTTAGTGACTTAAAACAACATAAGTGTATTATCTTACAGACAGCACTGTTTAGTTAGTTTCCTTCTCTAACTCCTTCCAGAAAACAAGCTTCATGAAGGCAAGGCCAGGCTTCCCAAGGTAGCTCTGAACCGATGGTCTTACACCCATGTGTATCCTCAGAGCCTAAAGCAGTGAAATCAAGTATTTAATGGATAATTCTCTAACTGAATGTAAAAATAATTGAATAAACTGGGGCATATTTACTTGATGTGATGCAAAAATGAACAAAATGATCAGGATGTTTGTGACATGTCAAATGAAGAAAAGCAAGATATAAAATTGTATATAATCGCAAGATGTAAAGCAAATGAATATACAGAGAAAGATGAGTAAAGGAAACGCCTCAAATGTTAATAGTGTTTTCTTCAGGATGTTAGAAACGGGAGTAGGTTTTCCCCCTTCCTTTCATTTTTATTTTTTGCATTTTCAGATTTGCTACAATGAGCATGTGTTACTATCCCCTCACCCCAGCTTTACTGAAGTACAATTGGAGTATGTGTTATTAATACTTTTTTCAATGTCTAGGGCTCTGAGTTAGAAATAATCTGCCAGGTCATACCTGAGTGCCTATCCAGTAGTAATGTCATCAAACTCTAAGACACCCCCTTATGCCTGTGTGGTGGCATAAGTCACATTTTATTTTCTGTTAGAATTATCTGGAAGCTAGTCGTAGCTCCTTCCCATCTGCTGGCCAGGGGCAGAGACTTTCCTTACTCACTTGTGACCCCAGTAGTATTTTTTTGCCCTTGGGGCTGCACTTCAAACACACTGCCCAACATATTGCCCATTACACTAATTTTCAGTCGAGTCTCCTTACTAATTAAGCCTCTGTGCTCCCATAATCTAGTGAGTCTAGTTGAATAATCTGGTTGAGTCTAGTAGAGCTAGTTTCAAATGTAAACCAGGCCTTTCTCAAAGCCCTGCAGTGGCTCCTCATCTCACTCAGAGCAAAAGCCAAGGCCCCACACTACTGACCCCTTGCTTCCTCTGCTCCAGCCACACTGGCCCTTGTGTGTCTACAGCACTCCTCCCTAGGATCCCTAAACCCAGCTCCCTGGCTTTCTTCAGGCTTCTGCTCAAACATTACCGTATCTGTAATGGGACAACAGAGGATGAGATGGTTGGATGGCATCACCGACTCAATGGACATGAGTTTGAGTAAACTCCGGGAGCTGGTGATGGGCCAGGGAGGCCTGGCATAATGCAGTCCATGGGGTTGCAAAGAGTCAGACATGACTGAGCAACTGAACTGAACTGAACTGAGTAGAACAGAGGTCTTCTGGGCCCACTCTTAAAAGCAACTATTCCTACCCACAATTCTGTGTCCCTCCCACACACACTTTAAGTTTCTCCATGGCACTATGACCTTCAGACATACTGATTATTTATTGAGTGGTCCTCCCCTAGTGTAAGCACCATGATTAAGAACAGAAGCCTTTTGTACTACTGCTCCCCCAGGGCGGGGAACAGTCCCTGCTATGTAGGACACACTCAGTATTTTTTTGAATGAATGACTCCTGAGTGCCCTAAATGAATGAATGAAGTGGTGGATGGTGAGTCCTGTAGGAGGCAGGAAAGGGAAGGATGACTCTGGAGTGGTTAAGTTTCAGCAAGGATAGAGTATTTACTTCCCTGAATTGCAGGGGCAGTCCAGAGACAAGAAACAAGAAATAAAGTTAAGCTTAGGGACTGAAAGTGATGGAAGCAAAGAGTTGAAGCTGGGTTTGACTGGAAAAAAAAATCATAAGGGGGTATGAAGTCAGGGAGGTGAGAGCAGCAGAAGCATTTAAGGACTTTGGTGAAGAAGAGTATTTGCTACATCTCCCTTTCCCAAGGCTGTCTCTGCTGGTTGCATGGCGGTCAAGAGAGAGCACTCCATATAAAACATTGAGGGAAAGATAGAGTGGGCATTGCTGTTAATTAAGAGGCATTAAACATGCTCTCAGAAAAATCTTCTGAAAGGAGCTGGTGGGAAAGGAGAGGGTTCTGACATTTAGAAAGAAGCTCCTCATAGCTAATTACTATGATCTAAATGTTTTTGTCATCCCCCCGCAAAGGTTATATATTGAAATTTTAAAACCCAGTGTGATGGTATTAGGAATCAGGGCCTTTGGGAGGTGCTTAGGTCATGAGGGTGAAGTCCTCATGAATGAGATTAGTGCTCTAATAAAAGAGGTCCTCCAAAAGCTCCCTTGCCCCTTCCGCTCTTCCTCTCTGAGGACAGAGTGCAGAGGTTTATAAACCAGCCAGTGGGCCTTCACCAGGCACCAAATTTACCACCACCTAGATCTTGTACTTCCCAGTCTCTAGAACTATGAGAAATAAACACCCAGACTATGGTGTTTTGTTACAGCAGTCTAAATGGACCAAGACACTGATGATGCCAGGCACATCCTTCATCAGCCCTCATTAAGGCTGCAGTTTTTTACTATTGTTCTTCCACCATGAATGAGAACAATGCTTAGCAAAAGCATCCAAAGACCCTAAACTTTCTTCCTGAACAGAGAACTGTCTTATAGCACATTTGAAATATTCTGTATACAAATAACAAGTTGGCACTAGGCAAAAATTCACTCACTTGACTTTCTCAAAGTGGCTGTATTCATGGCAGTCTTCAGAGAGAAAATGGCAAATAGAAAGGGAAACAAAACTCCATATGATGACAACAGAGAATGTTCCACAGGAAAAAATATTTTTAAAAAAAATCTACTTACACTGGAAACATGTAAAATGTTATTTTACAGATACTAGAAGTAATATTTTTTCCTAAACAAAACTATAGGGTCTTACATGGAAGCAACCTAAATGTCCATCAACAGATGAATGGAGAAATAAGATGTGGTACATATATACAATGGAATATTACTCAGCCATAAAAATGAATAAAATAATGCCATTTGCAGCAACATGGATGGGTCTAGAGATTGTCATACTGAGGGACGTAAGTGAAACACAGAAAGACAATTATCATATGGTATTGCTTATATGTTTGAAATCTGAAAACAAAAAAAAGCGGGGGGGGGGGATACTAATGAACTTACTTACAA